CTTTGTATATTGTGTATAAAGGAAACCGAGGCCCCGGGCCCACAACCCCGTTATCACTGTGTGATAGTCCCGGCCACCGGTGCCTCGGGGGGCTCCTCCCCGCCAGCGCCCCGGGACCCAGCCCCTGGGGAAGGGGGGGCGGAGGGGACACGGAGCTAGGCCCCCCCCGGCCCCTCCAGCCGCTAGCAGGTGAGCAGCCGGAGCCTTTTTACCGCCGTTCGGCTTTTTACCGTGTATTTATTTGACTCCGTCGGGTTCTTTCTTTCCTCTGTCCCGGTCCCGGCAAACCCCGAGGGGGCCGCGGCCGCCGGGAAGGTCCCACCTCAATAAACCCCCTTTGGAATAAGCCACCGGCTCCTGGTTTGCACCCTCCCTGCGACCCCGGAACATGGCTGCGCCTCGGTCACGGCACGGAGGAACAGCGCCGGGTAGGCCGGGGCCTGGGGCCGGTACCCAGCGGGGGGTGGAGCTCCCCTGCGCTCCGTGCCGTGGGGGTCCTTGGTGCTCACGCAGCAAATGCAGCACACTGTGCATTGGCACGTGCGCGTGCTTCATGTACCTCTACTGGCTCCGGGGAGTCTGGCTGTGCCCAAGTGGGGGCGCCATGACGGGGGTGCGGTTTGGGAGTGCGGGGCACCAGCCAGGCCCTGGGATAGCGCCGTGCCATGAAGTGTGGATGCCACAGAGGACGGGGAAGCCTTGGGGCCCCAACCCCATACATGGGCCCCCACCTCCTCCAGCCTGCATACCTTTGCTGTGCACCTGCATGCACACTTCACGAACACGTGCCCAGGAGCACGCTCCCCCAGTGCTTGAACACATGCGCCCGGGGACACGTGGCACACGAACACACTTGCAAAGGCACCACGTCCTCCCTCCGCACGTGGGAACCAGTGCCTCTTGTGCAAGCATGTGTGCGAATGCATGGTGTATCCACACGGGTGTGTGGGAACACACATGAAGCACCAGCACGTGTTGCTCCTGGGGGTCCCAGGGGCAAGGACAGGTTTCACGCGGCACCGAGGGGGGGTGTCTCGGCACAGGCAGGGCCCCCACGCCTGGGTTCAGCCCCTGCCTGCTGCAGACCCGGGTCCAGTGCTGTCCACCAGGGGGCGCCCGGCACCTTCCTCTGACGTGCCCAGCGCCGCCAGGGCTAGGAGCCTTGCACACACGTGTGCAGAGACGCCTGCCCCTGCCCCACATGTGAGCACAGCTGTGCTTGTGCCCCTTCCTCCCCAATGTAAACATGCCTCCTGGCACACGTGTGCATGTGTTTGCAAATGTGGGTTCCCTGCACGCCCCTTGTCCCGGGTCCCCTCAGCAGGTGCACGTGTGCGTGCAAGCAGAGCTGTGCAGTGGAGCCATGGCTGCCGTGGGGAAGGGGGGGGTGCGCGTGTTGTCCATCCCCCAGACACCTGGGTTCCATGTGTGTATAGGGCTACGTGTGCATGTGTGTGTCCCAGACCCCTGGGTACTTGGAGTTTGTATGTGTGTCCCCGATGCCTCTGCGTGCTGCGCATGTGTGTCCTGCACACCTGGGCATCACGGGCACACACATGGAGCATGGAAAGCCCCCGGCCGTGCCTGTCCCAAGGGCTCTCTCTGTGTTTGCCTTTAGCATTTTTGGCAGCCAGGCCAGGCTCTCCACGCTGCCCCCCCTCATGGGCCCGTTCCTCCCTTCCCGCGTTCCCAGAGTGCAGCGCGGGATCCGTGTGTGTCCCACAAGTGTGGTGGGCCCGCCAGGCCCCGGGCAGCAGAGCATGCATGTGCCTGTGACATCCAGGCGTGTTGTGGGGTGAGTGGGCCCGCCACTGGGCATATAAGCTTGCAGGAGGAGTGTGTCAGCTGCATGCAGTATCAGGGTGAGGGTGGGGCGTAGTGTTGGGTGTGCGTGTGAGCATGTGTGTGTATGTGCACGCACACACTACAGATGTGCATACGTGGGACTATGCAATAGTGTGTGTGCACTATAGGTGTGTGTGTATGCGTAGCATCGAGTGTATGCACACAGTAGGGGTGTGTGCGTCCACACAGCAGACGTGATCAAAATGAGTGTGTGGCCAGCTCTGGGTGCACGTGTGACGCCTGGGCCTGGGCACCGACAGGGCTCCCTTCCACAATGCCATGTGTGTGCGCCCTGTGGCCGCTTCCAGCACCACTTGAAGGCCAGTGCATTGCACACGTGTGCCCGGGGCACAGTGCCATCAGCTCCTCATGACGTGTGCCCAGGCCCTTTGTGTCGCTGCTGTGGCAACGCCAGCCCCTGCCCAGCACGGGTGGGGAGCAGGGCAGGAGGGAGCGTGTCCTGGGCCAGCGTCCCTGGCGCTGCCCCTCCCTGCCCACGGAAAGCCCCTCGGGCCAGGGGTAGTGCAGCCCAGACAGCAGCAGAGGATCAGGGCACGGTATGTTCTGCCCTTGCCCTTTGTGGGGGGAGGGGGGGGCCGCGTGGTCTCTTTCGGGGGGCAGAGATAGCCCCCCACCCTGGGGGTACAGACCTGGCTGCCCCAGGGGGTGTAGGAGACAGGAAAGACCCAGATCCCACCATCGCCCCAGGGGCAGTGGTTGAACCCCTGTAGGCCCCCCCAGTCACACGTGTGCACAGGTGTGAGGCAGTGTGCGATTCACACATGGAGCCTGGCATAGGTGTGGCACGTGTGTCAGCAGGGGAGGCTGCTTGGTGCCTCCCTGGGAGATTGCAATGCCCCTGCTGGGGGAGGGGGGGGCGTGCGGGGTACACGCATTGTGGGGAGCTCGTGTGTGTGTCCAGGGCAGCAGGCAGGATGATGAGTGCTCGTCAGTGGAAAGTGGGAGTGAGCTCTGGTGAGGTCAGTAGTGTGTACAAGGGGAAGGGGAAGTGTGTGTGTGTTGGCATGTGCATACAGGACTGCATGTGGATGCAAGTGTTCTGGGCATGCACGGGTTGGTGTTCATGTGTGGTCTGTTGCACGTGTGTGGGAGTGCGACGATGGGCACAGTTGTGTAGTATGCATCTGTTGTGGGGTCTGCATGCGCATGTCGAGAGGGGGCTGCCTGTGGGTGCCCCTGCAGGAAAGCACGTGTGTGTGCATGACCTGGATGCCTGGGGGGGGGGGGGGGGGGGGGGGGAGACAGAAGGTGATTGTGTACAGGGCACATGTGAAGGTGACAGCATGTCCAGGGTGTTGTAGGGGCTGCCACATGGCTCCGAGGGGTGCGTGTGAGGAGTGTGATTGTGCATACAGGTGTGTGGTGTGTGCAGCAGCACACTAGGCACATGGTCATGCACACAGGCATGTGTGAGGAGTGTGGCTGTGTAGCTGCTTGTTGGGGAGTGTAGTGAAGTATAGCTGGGTGTGCATGTGTAGCGGGTGTTTGTATACAGGTCTGCATGTGGATGTGTGTAGAGGCATGAGTGGGTTTTGAACACAGGTGTGTAAAGCATGTGCATGGATAGGCGAGTGCATGATTACATATGGGCATGGAGGGTGCATACATGACTAGGCAGGGGTATTTTTATGCAGGGGGGCCTGATTGCTTGTGGGTATAGGCATCTAAGGCATGTGCTTGTGTGAACAGGTGTACATGTCATTCTATGTTGCTGCATGCAGTGGTTGTGCACACAGGCATGCAAGGTTCACATGGCTGCATATATGCTTGTGCATACAGCTGTGTATGCAGTTGTGTGTAGAAGCATGTGTGGATTGTGCACACAGGTGTACAAAGACTGCGCTGTGTGCGGATCCGTGCTTGATTGTGCATACAGGCATGCAAAGGGTGTGCTTGTGTGCACTATGATGGTGTGTACAGACAGGTGAAACTCGTGTTTGCATGCATGGGCACCTGAATGCATCAGTGTGCAAGGAGTGAGCATGTGTGCAGAAGCTTGTCCATACAGATGTGACACATACACGTGTGTGCATGCCTGTGTATATGGGAGTGCATGCAGCTGTCTGTGGATGCCTGCGTGGGTTATGCATGCAGCTGTGCAAAGTGCACACTTGTGTGCACCGGGGTGGGCTGGATGGGACACAGGTGTGTGGGCATAGACCCAGCTGTGCCGACAGGCATGCACATGCACAGTGGCACAGACCGGCATGCAAGGCATGTGTGGGTGTGCACGCGAGTGTGGAGACAGGCCTGCAAAGCATGTGCGCGCCCATAGGCATCCAAGCAGCTGTGTGCAGTTGTACGTGTGCAAGTATGTGCATGCACAGGCCCGATGGTGTGCAAGGCGTGCAAGGCACACTTATACTCCCTGCAGACCCCTGCCATGTGGGACAACAGCAGTGGTGCTGGCCCAGCCAACGCGTCACGTTGCGGCGTGGACTTCCAGGCGGGCCGTGGCGCCGTGGCCACGTTCTACGGCGCCGCCTTCCTGCTGGGCCTGGCCACCAACGCGGCCACGCTGGGCCCACTCGTGCGCCTGGTGCGGGCCGGCAACGTGCTGGCCGTCTACCTGCTGGGCCTGGCCGCCTCGGACGGGCTCTACCTACTGACACTGCCGCTGTGGGCCGCCTACGCATGGCGCGGGCACGCCTGGGAGCTGGGCACTGCCGCCTGCCGGGCCGCAGGCTTCTTCT